CCCCCCCCCTTAACTTTCTGCTTAGATCGAGTGTGGACAATGAAGGTTACAACGCAGCGGAATCGGACGAAAGACAAGGAGGCACTCGGCCTGGGATCCACTGGACACCAGGTGACTCGGGCACCAGGCCACCGCGCCAACCTGCAGCAGTCACACCCACTGCCATTCGGAAACCACTCAGTGAGCAGGGAGTCGACCCACCTTATAAAATAAGAACAGGTGACCCAAAGCCTAAAGGGACGTCTTCAAGGCCCCGGCCCGTCAGCAAAGGCAGCGCACCCCGCGCCGCAATGAGCCGCGTGGACGAAGCCGGGGCGACGGCTCCCTTACCGCTCCCTCCTCCTCTCCACGGGGCGCGTCCACCGGAGGCTCCAAATCAGCAGGCGCCTCCTCCCTACCGCCCGCCCAGCAAGGCCGGGGGCGGCGGCGGGGCGGACGGGAGCCGCCTGGGCCACGAACCCCGAGGCGGTGCAAAGCCGCCATGGCCACGGCAACCTGCAGCTCCGCCGCCGCCCAGAAAGAGCGCACGAAGGCGCAGCGAGCCTTTTATAGTGTGTACGGCGGCCCGCGCGGGCCAAGCCTCGCCAGCCCGCCCGGAGGCCGCAGCCGCAGCGCCCTCTAGCGGGCCCTCCCTTTCCCGCCCCGCCGGTCGGGATTCTCACCCTCTCGCCCGCGCTTGCGCCTGGGTCTGCTACGGGCCAGCTCTGCGCAGCCCCGGGTCCCCCTCCAGGAGGGTGGGACCCTGCAAAACGGGGGTTCTGGTGGGTCCTACCTCCCGTGGGCAGCGGGACTGCGTGAGTCAGCCAGCCTGTGCAAAGCTCTTAGAGCAGCGCCAGCACTCCGCGATGTCTAACGTAGTCACTGTCCCCTGCCCCATCATGGCCCTGAGCTTGGAACCGCTTCTTTGTTGGCTGCAGAAAAGAGGCACCCGATGAGAATCCGACAGGACTCTCTGTGACAGCAGTGTCTGTCATGGGGGCAGAGTGGGGGGTTCTATGGTGCACCCAGACCTGCCTCCTGGGTCTGGCCATTTGGGCCAAAGTCTGGGCAACCACATTGGCCACCTGGCCCTGGCATGGCCTGCAGTGCCCAGTCCCTGGGCAGATGGGTGTCCTCCCCTTGGAAGCCCAGCGCAGACAGAAGGGGTCACAGGGGCCTGACTTCGTGGGGAGGGGCTGGCTGGTTTGGGGAAGGAAGGACTCCCTCCTCCCTTCCACCCACCAGCCTGGAGGAAGCTGAGCCCCAGCTGGGGGAGCCAGCCGCAGACTCACATCATCACAGAAGGTGGGATCCCAAACATGGGACCCTGGACATCAGACTTGTAAACGTGTGGGCCAATCTTACCTACAACTTTTCTCTCTTGCCCATGGAGTGATTTTAAAATTGGGTAATTTCACATGAAAATCAGGGTTTCTGGGTTCTTTCTGAGAATCAGCAGCTCTGGGGGCATTCCCAGGAGGCGCGGGGGAGCTGAGGAAAGACAGTGTCCACTCTCCCCACTACCGCAGCCGGGGCTTCGGCCCTCCTGGTAGCTCCTACAGCGCTGAGGACATAGAATTTGGGATTCCTGCTCAAAACGAATTTTCATGTGCCATGTCCCCAAAGTGACATAAGAAAATTCGCGTCATTGTCCCGTGACCTTGAACTAAGAAGAGGACACGTTATTAATAGGAGGGTCCCGTCCTGCTCTCCAAGGAGATTCCTGTCTGTAGCTGGGCTCTTGGTCCTTGTGTCACACCAGAGAATGGGGAGAGAGGAGGACTGGAGAGGCTGCGTTAGCAGGGGTCGCCTAGGATCTCAGGGGCTCTCACTCCCAAAGCAAACCCCAGGGTAGGGTTGAGACCTGGCCTAGGTGGGCCTGGGGGCGGGGGGCAGGGCAGTCCCTGCCTAGTTTCCCAACTGTCCCATGAGGGTTGCTTATGGAGCAGCCTCAGCCCAGCTCAGCGCGGATATGGCCACGGCTCTCCCCCGCCGTGGGTGGAGGGGACGCACGAGCCCGCCTCGTAGACACCGGTGGACCCCTCGTGGGCCCCGCGTGGGGCACTTCGGCGCTGCGCCCACAGCCGGGCGCGCACATTGCGCCTGGAAAGCCTGCGCGCGTGACTCTGCCTCGGCGCGCGCGCGCGCCACCCAACGGCGTCACCGCCACGGCGCGCCACCCAAGCGGGCTGGCCCCGGGTGTCCCTGTCCGGCCCAACTGCCCTGTAACCCCCCGGTCCGCTGCGGCGTTTGAAGAGTCCTGGGGGGCGCGTGTGCGCTGCGGGGTGCAGCACGCAGCGTGGAGTGACTGCTGTTCCAGAGAACCCACGGCCCTGCAGCTCGTGTTGGCCGGTGTGCAGAGCCAGTTTCCAAGTTTCCAGAGCCAGGAGAGACTGACCCCTGAGCCCGGGAAGCCCACCTCTTGCTCACTCTGCGAGCTGGGCTCAGGTGGGCGTGGAACCTTTGCTCTCTGCCCGGCCCTTTGTCATGGAGTTCTGCTTGTTGGTATCCAGGGGGCGAGGTGCGCACCCTTGAAGACAAGCTGGAGACTCCATCACCTCCAGGATGGGACAGCGAACCTACCCCCAGTTATCCTGCAGGTGAGAGAGCTGATCCATGTCAGCACCGAGCTGCCACCACTGTGCCCGCCCCCTGCCTGGGCACCTGGTGGCAGGAGTACATCTGTAGTCACTTTTTCTGTGATGACCTGGTAGCAGGCGCACACCTGTGGTCCCATTTCCTGTAATGAGCTGGTGGCAGGTGCACACCTGCAGCTTGTGCTGATGCTACCTGGCTGAGGAGATGAATGTGTTTTGGTTCATTTATGCCCCATTTGTTATGAGTTGATGCATTTATTGTGGGTTGACTATAAGGACAGAGGGGGTCAGGACTCAGTCATTTTATTCAGATCCATTATGGGGGTGACCTGAAAGTGGCAATATGCCCTGGAGTTTTCTCCAATAGCCAGTTTTGTTTCTGTGTCGGGGAAGGTGCACAAATGATCCTATATTTTACCCTGTGTTGAAATTAAAACACCCAGCCTTGGCTTTTATTTAAGACAATATGAAAAGTCACTAACATCCTTCACATTTTGCTTGAGGATCACTTTGTGGTTCAAAACGCAGCTTTTTTTGAAAATGTCATATTGTAATGACCAGCCCATTTCTGGCAGAGGGAGGAGGAGGTTTCCCAGGTTCCCCATGAGAAAGGGCCCCCAATCAGATGTCAGAGAAAGTCCCAGTGTGCCCTTGGGCACCCAACACCGCTCCCCTTTCCTGACCTCAGGGTGAGGCCTCCTGTCTCTCCCCATTGAGTGTGATGTGAGCTGTGGGTTGGTCACAGATGCTGTTTGTCAGGCTCAGGAAGTTCCCTGCTGTTTCTCATTTCTTGAGTGTTTTTATCATGAAAGGATGTTGGATTTTGTCAAATGGTTTTTCTGCACTTAGTGAAAATCAGCTACCACAGCAGCTTTTAAAAAAACCATGAGGTCATCTTTCCTTCCCTCTTTCTGCCTTTCTCCCTCATGCAAACACAGAATCCTCTGGAAGCAAATCACAACCCAAATAGTAATACTTGCTGAAGGCTGGTTGGAGGAATAGCCCAGCCCTCGTGACCCCATGAGTGCAGCCTGGCAGCTGTGTAACGGGGTGGCGCCTCCAGTGAGGACTAGACATTCAAACATTAATAATGATGATTTCCTGGGTGGTGCATACTCCGTAATTTTTTCTCTCTCTTTTTAAATTGATTTTAGAGAGAGAGGAAGGGAGGGGGAGAGAAAGGGTTAATGATCAGTTGCCTCTTGCATGTGCCCTGACCGGGGACTGAACCTGCAACCTGGGCATGTGCCCTGACTGGGAATCGAGCTGGCGACCTTTCAGTGCATGGGACAGTGCTCAACCAATGGAGCCACCCACCCAGGGCACTTCTTTACTGACTGTAGAGTGAAAATAGCATCCCAGTTAGGCGTGTGTAGGAAACAGCGTCCACCAGGTACAGGCGCTGAAAGGGAACAGTGGACAGGCAGAAAACTACTAACCCAAGAGATGTGCCAAAGGGGACATTCTCTACAGGCCTTCCTGTCAAGGAGTCACATTCTGAAAACACTGGATTTATTTCCTGAGGCCTCATGTATCCACCTTTCTATTGTAGGAGTCGGGTGCTGTGTGGCCAGCAGGCCTCTCAAACGAGTTTTCTGTTCAGCGTTTTGGCTGGAACAGGCGAGAGGACTTTCGGGGGTCATTTGTGTGTCCATATGGACAGTATCAACCAGGCTTCCCTCAGAGCCCCTGGGCAGTGCCCACAGAGCCCCATGTGCCACATGCTCTGGACGGACAGGCCCTTGGCTGCAGACGTCCTCTGGCTCCGAGTTTCTAAAGCCCTTCAGTTGCAGTGATTCTAAAGTGGAGACAGGAGTACACAGGTGTGTTAACATTGTGCGTGTTGGGGGCCTTCAAATGGCCAACAGGATGCACGTGTGCCTGTGTGTATGTATGCGCGTGCTTGCGTGGAATAGAGAGGGGAGAGAGACTGATTTTAATATATCGGCTCGTGATCACGTGGGCTGGCACGTTCAAAACCTGTGGGCCAGGCTAGCAGACGGCAAGCCGGGTAGGATCTAGACGCTGCAGTCTCGAGGCAGGTTTTCTTGTCCTGTAAACCTGGTGTTGCTCTCAAGGCCTTTCATTGGTGAGGCCCACCCACGTAGACAGTGATCTCTAAGTCAAGTCAACCCCATGGAGCATGTTAACCACACATACAGATTGCATTCCCAGCCACACACAGATGGCACCAGCCTGGGGAAACGCTGCACAGGAGCGCTGGGCTGGCAGAGGGGGAAGATCCCAAACTCCACGGGTTGGGACTGCGGCCACTCAGGAGGCAAAGCCCTGGGCTCGACCCTGAGAGGTGTCTGGGCAAGAGGCCTTCCCTGGCCGTCTCCAGGCCCTGGTTCTGGAGACCCCTCTGTGGCACACTCACCTCAAACTCCCTGGCCCTCATTGGGGGTATGGGGCTCCTGCCCTCACCCACTCTGGCCCCAAATCCTGGCTCTTCCAGGCCCGAGCTCTAACTAGCCGCCCGGAGACACCAGCTGGTCAGGGCACAGCCCTGCCAGGACTCAGAAGTCTAATAGGGCATGTCAGCCATGATGGCAGCAGGGAGGACAGCCCCTCCTGGGCTTTGAGCACAGTCTCCTTGGGCTGCTTTTCGGCTCTCTTGGGGTTCATCTCCGGGGTGGCATGCTTGGAGGCCCCTTCCTGCCAGGGTTGAGGCCCCCTCACCTGAGCCCTGTGGGAGCCTCCCCAGCTGGCTTCTCATCACGGAGTCAGTTCAGAAGAGTCCCCCAGGTCCTCCCTGGCTGCTGTTCCTGGAGCAGCCCCCACGCAGCTCTGCCCCCTCCTGTGCCTTTCCTCCGGGTCCTTCCTCAGCCCTTGCAATGTTCTGGCTCAGGTGCACTTATCTAGTCACCTGGAACTGGAGCAGAGCAAGTGACCAATACAAACTCCTGTACCAGGTGGTCTTCAGGGGACAGAGGATGGCAGGGGCCAGGCAGGCCCTCTGCGCGGTTCATATGGAGTGGGGGCCACTCCAGCCAGGCCGCTAGGGGCTTTTGGCATGGACACCCCCAGGGTTGCTTCCCTCCCCCCAGCCCTTTGGTCAAGGACAACAGAACAGGGCCAATCCTGCCAGAGCCACCTGGGACACCCTCCCTGTAGGTGATCTTGAAGGTTGGTATGGACCCTCTGTTACCCTCGGCCTCAGGGAGGTCCAGGGACTCCTGTTCAGTTAGCAGTTTCATCTTGTGTTCTGATGTCAAGCGTCTTGGTTTCCCCCAGTGCCCCTCTGGTGCCCAGCTGGCTCTCCCTCAGTGCTTAGCTTGGGGAAATCTCACCTGCACACACCAAGCCCTGGAGGGGCCCCTCAATTTACCTGCCTGTACACTTGCATTATTAATTTCAGGTTTGCAAATTAAAGTGATGGTCACTTCTGGTTTCAGTGGCACTCGGTTTCTTGCACCTTCCAAACCACAAGACATTCCCTGTCCCCCCAACCCTGAGGTTGACAGGACACTTGGGACTTGTCTTCCTGTCTCTCATGTGCTCTGTGGGACCCAGGCTGGCAGAGGTGGGCATGTGTACACCCACACGAGGGCTACCGTGTCCCAGACCCTGCTGTTCACACTCCCCAGCAGACAGGTTGCTCAGAGCGGTCAGGTACACAGGAGCATAAATGCTGAGCCATGAGGAGGCATGCTGGACAGAGGGGCCACACTCAGCCCAGGGACACAAGTGTGGCCAGGAAAGTCCTTCCTGACCACTGGGGAGGGTGCCTATTAGGGGTGGCCTGGCCTGTGGGGGGGTCATAAGGGCCTCTGAGCCCCAACACTGAAGATGGTGGCCTTGAGGGGCAGTTGGCACTTCTGTTGTCCCAACCAAACTACACATCCACATGCCTGTGCATCCCCTTGAAGCTTAGGGACCCCGAGGGCAGAGACCTCGTGTGCTCCATGGGCACGGTGGTTATCTGGTAAGTGCCACGCTGAGACACCACGTCCACACGGACCACACTGCTGAACCCAGAGGTTGAAGCGGCATTCAGCCCGAACCCGAGTTTCAGTTCTGCTGGACTCATGCGGCCTGCTTTGCCTGTCCTGTCCCAACCTTAGTGGCTCACCGCGCAACCTCAGGTTACAAAGCAGTCCCTGAAACCAGACAGTGGGAAAGCAGCCCAACCAAGGGCTACTCTGGTCAGGAATAAAAACCGACCTGCTGGCAGAACTGAGCCCATGAGGACTGATCTCAAGGTGGAAGCAGGTAGACTCAGGGACAAGCTATCTCCTGACGGGTCCTTTCTGGGCAGGCCACATGCCCTCTGCGCACCTGCTGGGCCCTGCGGGGCTGCACGAGCCTTGGGAGGCAGCTGCCCAGAGCTGCGACCAGGGGCGGGAACGCAACGCAGGAATGACTCGAATGCATTAGGGACTGCAGCCAGGGACAGAAGGGTTTTCTAATTTAGAACAGGCCTGACCACTGTTTTTATTTGGGAGGAGAGTGGACATGTCACAGCGAACGACCCACTTCTAGCGGGGCCTGTGTGCCTGGGGATGAAGGGTTAGCAGGACCCCGGCCCTCGGTCCCCTCCTGGCCCTGCAGTCGATACAGGGCCTCGACCTGCCTCCGTTTCTCTTTGGCCCGGTTGATGGTGGTACGGAAGAGCCTGCAGAAAAGCTGGATGGATGGGGGTGAGTCGTCATTGCCGGGCACGGGGTATGTGATGAGGCAGGGGTTGCAGTTGGTGTCCACGATGCCCACTGTGGGGATGTTCATCTTCGCTGCGTCTCTTACGGCCACGTGGGGCTCAAAGATGTTGTTGAGCGTGTGCAGAAAGATGATCAGGTCTGGCAGTCGGGCCCCAGGGCCCAGCAGAAGGGGCGCGTTGGTCAGCAGGCCACCCTTGAAGTAGCGGGTGTGGGCGTACTCACCACAGTCCCGGGCTGTGTTCTCGATCAGGTATGAGAACTGACGATTGCGGCCCACGAACAAGATGATGCCCTTGCGATAGGCCACATGAGCTGTGAAGTTCAAGGCCAGCTGCAGGTGTGTGGCTGTTTGTTCCAGGTCGATGATGTCCTGGTTCAGGCGGCTCCCGAAGATGTAGGGCTCCATAAACCTGCCAGACACCCCATCCAGGCAAGTGAACAGGATCCCTTCTTGCCCTCTGGGG